ATTTGACGTCTCCAGGTACTGTTGTATTTTGACAGTCGGTGATACATTCATGTAGATTCTTCATTATTTAATATCTTTAAATATAATGCCGGGCTCTAATATTTGGTGGCAAAAATTCAAAAGTGTTTTAGAGTGGATGACTTAAAATGCCAAAATGAAATTAATAGCCCTGCTGGCAAAGTGCCTCTTCGGGCTTTAAAAAAAAAAAAAAAAAAAAAAAAAAAAGAATCAGAGGAAAAATGTGTAAAATTAATTTTATAGAGAAAAGTGCTGCACATTCTAAGACAATTAATTTTATAGAGAAAAGTGATGCACATTCTAAGACAATATACATAAGAAAAACTCTTGACTATGAAAAATAATTAAGAAACATTTTTAATTAATTAGATATCCAATTTTGCTTTTGCTAAGAATAATTTCGTTTCTTTCGTAAATTATGCTTTATAGCATTTATTAACTTGTTTATTTTTCAGACTCAAAATATTATATAATAAGTCACTAAAATGGAAAGCAATATCACTTTATATTATTACAGCGAAAAATAAAAATGTTTTATTTTAATGCTATTTCTTAAATATAATTTAAACATACTACCATTGTTTTAATGAAATCTATCAATATTATAATAAATCTCGACGATTAAAAAATCGTCGAAAATTCCCAGATCTCCAAATTAAACATTTTCTATATAGAAACTGATCTTAAAATCACCAAATCTAGAATCGCTTAATAAAAGAATTCACATCACCAAAAGCGATAAATTGTTCAAGAGCTCTTCATTAAAAAAAAAAAAAAAAAAAAAAAAAGAAAGAAATAATTTCGAAAAGCTTATTTTTCACTATATTATCATTATTTTGATGAAAATTATTATAATAATGTTCTAAAAAATCGTCAAAAAATTCGGAAATGTCGGACTTAAAATTTTTCAACAGAAATTGATCTTAAAAACGCCAAATTTAGAACCGTTTAATAAAAGAATTTACGTCCGCAAAAGGGAAAAGTTGTTTAAGAGCTCTTCATAGCATAAATGAAATAATTTCGAAATGCTTATCTTTTATTTCTTGCCCAGAAACTCGAATATCACATCATTTAATATTAGAAATAGGAACAAATTATAACTCATGAATCTATTCAAAAGATAACCATATTTGTCAACCAATCGCCGAAAACAGTCCTCCAAAATGCTTATTCACACCCAAAATGGCAGTTCTAAAAACAGGAATTTCAAATGGTTATTATTAAGGACCTTTTGCGATTTTGGGCGAAATTAAGGACCAAAAATCGATTCCAAAAAACCTAAGGACCGTACGAACCCTGTATCAGCACTGAAAGTTTTATTCACTTCTAATTGGAAGATTAACAAATTTTAAATAAAAACTCTACAGATTTTGTGGCGATCTGGCACAGGTCCCTAGTCTTCAGGAACTGACCCATGCCACATCACCACTTAAATCAGTAGGGTTTTACTCAAAATCTATGCCAAAGTTGCCTTTTTCCCCCCTAGTTTTAAAATTTCATGGCTAATAGTTATTATGAAAGGCAGTATCTGTATTTTAAAATAATTTCATGATAATTTACTGTTATGCAAAATTTTCATGTTTACTGTATGAAAAATTAAATTTATAAATATCTTCAGAAATAAAGTTATGAACCAAAAAAATTTGGAACAAATTTGTATTCAATTTTTTTTTTTTTTTTTTTGCTCCAGAAAGAGGGATCTACGCCAGATTGCTATTGAAATCGATAATTTACGTCTGTACCAAATTAAGGTTGCTTTTTTTTTTTTTTTTTTTTTTTTGCCAAATTTTAAAGTATATTTTATTTATAATTAAAAAAGAACTGCAGTTTTTTACTGACTGGATTTTTAATACATGAATTTTAAATCTAATTTATATTATAAAGACATCATAAGATGGTTTATATACAGAAAATTAGTAACATCATTTTTGTCATCAAACTTGAAACTTTTAAAATGCATATTTTTACTGCCCGACCTGTATGACTGAGTGGATAATACTGCTGACACTGGTTGTTTGACTTGAGTCTGCAAGTACATTTTCATGATTCTCCCCCCCCATGTGCATCATGAATATAAGCAATTTCCCTAACTATGTTGTTCATAAAAGTTATCTCTCTTAAATAAATAGCCTTTATGCACTTTGTTGTACTCAAACAAATCAATTTATATTATTTTCATTTAAAATGTGTGTGCAGTTTGTCTGCTATGAGAAAACACCTGATCTTGCCTAATGGGAAGGGGAGTTCATTTCACTGAAGAAAGAACCTATCTCACATTAAAAAAGCATGAATGTGGATTCTATTGTTATAAGCATGCTAGCATCTTACCTTAAATAAATCTTACATCCCAGTTTACCTAAAGTGAGATGCTGGGATTGTCCGACACCACGTGATGCAATAATGGCCAAGTCTTTTCTTGTAGTGTGCTTCTTTCACATATCTCTCATCTCATCACTCTTAGATAATAAATGATATTTGAATACTGTAACATATTTGCATTGCTATGCTACCAACATAATACCAGGAAGAAATGTAAAGAAACCTTGCACAAAGAATATCCGTGCAGACGATGCACGCGCTTAAAATTTTTTTTTCAGTTCCTGTAAGTTTTGACGAATAAAGTTGGTTGTTCATTAAAAAATGGCGAAATTTCTTTAAAATTTCATTACAATACACAATAAAGATGGAAAAAGCAAAATGATACTGAATGGAATTTATTTTACAACGCTAAGTAGAAACATTACAGATGAACAATTCTATACATGAAATTTGTAATATTACAGTACAAAACAAAATTATCAGATCAAAAATTAAAGTATGCATAAAAAAAGATCATCAGAAAAATATTTACTTATTTTTAAGTAAATAATAAAGAGCATATTACTAGAAAAATGCAAGTTCAATAATTGCTTTTCAGTTTAAAAATCAGAAATTTCAATCTTTATTGCTGCAAGTCACTTAAACTTTCTTTTAAATATTATGTCAGTCTTGATTGAGAATGCATTTACAATTTTTATTCATGTATGGTAGATATAAAAATTACACTTATATACTGTAAATACATCTCAATATAAATTTCCATCAATATCTAAAATAACTACTTCCATTAAAATTAATGTATAACCTAACAATAAGTAATAACTACTCCAAGTGATAGTAATAATTTCCTTTCCAATAAGAAAAATATTAGCTATTACACACACTTATAAGAAAATGCAACTGATAAAGCTAATGGGGTAGGGGCTCAAAAAAGAATTATAACAGTTTTACAGTATATATTTAAAACTCATTTATTAAATTTTTGAAATTTATCACATTTCTTACAATTAATAATATCTTTAAAATAAACATTTCATCTAGATAAACTTTCAGTTACACAACTAGATTATATATTTAACATAAATGGGAAAAATATGAATTTTACAATAACAGCCAGTGAATTGTCTTAAACATACAAAAATCATCTCATTAAAAAATTAAAAAATGATGCATTTATTTAAAAATAATCATATTAGATACATACAATGCTATAAAAATATAAATATGATACAATACAGAAATTTTGAAGTCTTGGTACAGTTGTCAGTATATCAAAAGTATAAGTGGAAAATAAGTAAAATGCCAACTTTTGAGTGAGTTAGAAGGAAATCCATAAACTATAAACTTACATATAAATACCAAAATTTGAGTAAGTTTGAGGAGGAAAGCTATAAATTAAATACTTTGGTCAGTTAACATATAACTGCTTAGATGCAAACTAATACTAAATAATATAGGTCATTAACTACATACATAATTTTTTTTTTTTTTTTTTTTTTTTTTTGCGCTTTGGCAGCTGAGGATGATGGTTCGGTAAAACCATCGAAACTAGTCTTGTGAAATTTTGCAAATATAACGCTGAATTTTGTTGTTTGAATTCTAAATTAATACAAACATCTTGAAATTCTGAGGCTGTGTCTGAACTTAGAATGAGGTATATATATAGTGTTTCTAAAAAGGTTTGTGCTTTAAAAAAAAGAAAGAGAGGGAAAGAGAAGCAATGATTTGGAATCTGAGTGTGGCATGGATGGTATTAAGTAATAAAATCATAATTATTTTTCAAAATCAATCTATTCCTTTTATTAAAATACATTTTTTAATGTAAAATTTTCATGTATTATTTGCTGGCAAATTTTTGAAGACATTAATTGACAGAAATACAAAATACATTTCAATCATGCAATAAAATATATAAAGTATTTTGCATAATTCCATATACATTTTTTATTTAATAAATAGTGAAATTCGGTTACTTCATATTTCTCAACACTTGAAGTTAATGATATAGCTTTTTAATTCAAATAATTACATTTTTTGTAATAATGATGTAGACTTACTAAGCCAATTATTATTTTACATATGGAATATAACAAATAATATAAAATATTTTTTTTATAATAATAAATTAATTTTTTATAATAATAAATAATTTAATAATAAGTCAGTTCCTACTTAGGTCAACAAGGAAAAAATTAAATTAAATTACAAATTAAAAAAATTAATATGTGAAAAAACTATATTAACATCAAGTGTCATCCATTACAAGTTTATAAAAATGTATTTGAACTTGACTGTATTTATTGGGTAACTGGCATTTATTGAGTGGACGAATAAAAAGTATTTTATTAACGATTGAAAATTAATTAAATATTTTTTTTTTCAAATTCAATTCCTATTTAGGTCAACAAAGGGAAAAAAAAAATTGTAGTAGCATCAAGTGTCCTTGCAAGTTTAATAAAATGTATTTGAACTTGAATGGATGAATAAAAAGTGTTTGATTAACAGCTGAAAATTTGAACAAGATATAGGGAGAGTGTGAGCTAATAGTAGGAATTGGGGGGGGGAGAAGAAATAGATGCTAATAGATTTTAACATTTAACTCAAATTAGCAGTCCCCTAAATATTTTTAAAATAATTTTTAGATTAACATTTAATAATTATTCTGGATTCGTACCTCCTATCTTTTTTTTTTTTTTTTTTTTTTTTGAGATAAGTATTTTCATTTCATCCACAGCATCCACTTTGAATGATTTTATTAATTAGCATTTGAATTTATTGATAACATTTCAATATACTAACCATGTAAAGTGTTTCTAATTAAATTTTGGCATTTCTTCTAAATTATATATCAACAGTAACAACTAGCTGTCATAAAAGAAGTAATAAGTCTTTTGCAAAACTACATAAGAAATTAATTCAAGAAGAACACAGTTCTATAATACTGTAACAATTGATAAACTCTTCATAGTTGCACAATAAGTTTTCAACAAACTAATCACCATCTTTACACATATCACAAAATATGAAAAATTCTTTGAAGTATATAAATATATCTATAAACAAAATTACAAGACTTCACTAAGCACTCAACAACATTGCACCACATAACAAACACTAACATATTTCATCCAGCAAAAACATAAGCAGCAAAGGTCACAAACATGATATTTTTTTAATTCCAGATATTGATGAAATAAAAAAGCATGTATGTACATAAAACAAACTTAAAAAAAAAAAAAAAAAAACTTATACAGGGGATATATTAAAATTTTAACTGATAGAAAATGTTAAAATGAACATGTAAAGTATTTTAGTACCAATATAACATATATTCTTTTAACATGTTAACAATTATTGCTAAATTAATATATAAAAATTAAGATTTTTTTCATTGAATATTCCTGCAACATAATTAAAATGAAACTTAAATGAAAATCTCAGCAATTTCCTTAAAACTGCACACAATTTTAAACATAATTAATTAAGAATTGTATCCACAAATTATAAGTATTACAAGTAATAAAATAACTTTGAAAGGAAAATCTGCTCCAGTACATTAGTAAACAACTATTTATCAAAGAAATTTGTCATGTTCTTGCTCATGAAAATAAATGTGACTGCATCCTTGTTTAAAAGATCAAATAGTACATGAGAAAATATACTGAAATAATCCACTTTTTCAGAAAGATATTTAAAATAGTCTAACTAAAAAATGCCATTTTTATACACAGCTCCCTCAAATATACATTAATTACTAGACAGTTAAACAGACCACATGTTATAACTACTGTCTAAGTATGTTTAATAAGTAGTACAAAAACTGGCATTTATTGTTTCTGGTATATTATATCACATAACAGAAATGAAATCAAAAGCATTTTTCATTAAGTAACTCTCTTTCAAGATAAAATTATTTATAAAAACTCATGAAGTAAATAAATAAAAATCAATTTTTAAAGTTATAATAGGAATGATTTATTTGGCAGCAATATTTAAGTTCAAAAATATAATTTTAATAGCAAAAATTCATCCAGGTTTCTATTTTTTACACAATTTAAATGCAGAAAATCTTCATAAATTTCAATTATACATCTTAATTTTCTTTTTTTATCAGTCATATATCTTTAATTTCTTGTACAAAGGTTAATTCTTTTGAACATATATAGCATCAGAATTTAAAATTAAATATTGCATAAAAGTTAGAATTTAGCTACACATTTGATCTTTAAAAAATGTATGAATTCAAAAATAGCACCAAAGTCATCCTAAATACTCCCTGAATACTGAAGTTAATATAAATATATTTCAAATAATTCCGGACTTACCAGATAATATACAATATATATATATGAGTTAATGTAATTCACATAAATGCAGAGCACTTTAGAAAATAATAAAGAAAAATTATTAAACACTATTTCATACAAGTTATACATTAAACAAGTGTCAAATAACTACTGATTATCTAAAATCTGAATTGAAAGTTAAATAAATTTAACACAAAAATTAAATAAGTGTTATTTAATACCTTTTCATATAATTGACATAAATATAATAGGCATATCTTTTTTAATACTATTCTCACTTTTTATATTCTAGTATGAAAAGATTACACTTTCTTTGTTAAAGTACGGAATTTTTATCAAGTTAAGTATATATATATATATCTATGGTCACAGCTAGAGTGAAACATTTAGCTTTTCTTTGCAACAGCATTAATAACAGATACTGCATTACCTAGTAACAATTTATAAATAATTTTGAAATAAGAATACACGGATTAATAATAATGGTTCCAAATGAATATTTTGTACCCATTAAGTTATTTTCTATTCTGAATATAGATATTAGCTTTTTCTCCTTTTTTTTTACCTCCTAAATAAATGAAAAAGAAGAGTTGGTAGTTACAAATTACAGAACTGACACAAATGTTTATGCATGAGATGTTTAAAAAATTCAGAAATGGTCAAACTGAGAAAACATTAATATTTGTGGCTTAAAATAAGCTAAATGTGACATACCTACATGAAAGAACTTTTGTCCTTATAAAAGAAAGATGTACACATGCTGCTTGAAAAATAAAGGAATTTAGACGGAAAGCCATATTTTTTACTAATAAGAAATTCTGTATTGTTCAATAGAACATTGCTTTTCACTAAACATTCATCATAGTCATATTCCCCCCCTTTCCCTAGCTTAAGAAGAGCAATAAAATATTGTTATTAATGTCATTCGCTTTACAAAGAATCCTTGTTTTATAGTTTTAATTTAAACTATAAATTTAAACTAATCAGATTCAACATGATTAATATATTTACTGATGATTAATATATTTTTACAAGGAGTTAAACCTATTATTCTGACAGATCAGTAATTTTAGTTTAAAAATACTATAATTTTTGGGAAAGTCAAAACATAGACATTCAATTTCCTCTTAACAATATTTAATGCCTCACTATTCAGCACATGTGCCAAATTATGTATGCTCAATGCATTAATTTAACAAATATACTTTCAAACTTCTATCAAATTTAACTTCCTGATTTATAAACTTTTTATAAATTATAATTGTATAATTGATTTTTGCAGCATTTTCATAATTGCAGCAACAAATAAAAATGTTAAAATATTTCAATGAACTCGACTGTCATCAATTAAATAGATTTGTTGAAGTGTTAAACTGACATTTATTTGCCTTTTAATTTTCAGTGTTATAACTAAATATTCATCAAAACTTCAGTAGGCTGCAAATAAATATACTATCAAATTTTATTTATTAACAGCTGACAAATAAATATATGGGAATCCTGTAGGCCTAATTACACACTTTTCTTTCTTAAATATTTTGAATTGAATTTCTTTATGAAGATCTTTAAATTATTTTGGAGTTTACTATATAACTTTTCTGATTAAAAAAAATTTAAACTATATTATTTACAGTAAAAGCATCCACTTTAAAATGATATACAAGTTTGATTTCTTTTACAGGTGTTTTTATATCCCCATTTTTTCTACCTCTGTATTTATAAAAAAATTCTTAAAAAAGACACAGGATATTTTATTAAAGTGAAATAGTCATGCTTCCATATACATTAATTCAATACCTGTGCAGTCAACAAATTAGATGGAAAATAAATTAATAGTTTATTAGTTACAATATATGCATCACACTAGGACAAGATATGGCCAGAGGGAATACAACAATACTAACATGTCTAATATTGCTTTCCCAAGGCATTCTGGACCATACGAACACAAATCTGCATAAATGATTTGAACTGATCATTAATTAAATATGCAGCATGTTGACAGAAAAATACAATATTTATTATTCTGCCATTCTTTTGAAACTGTGCATAATACTATACAATAGATGTACAGCATATTTTTTCCATGGTTTATTATCTTTTGAAGATTAAATTAAAATGTCTGAACTCCTTACTTGTGTAAGATAAAGGTACACTGAAAATATATTATGCAGCATACAGTACACTTTATTAAATGCTTATTACACATCATTGTATATAACTTAGGAATAAAATTTGCACTTTTTTAATATATTACAACAAGGGGCTATATTTAGTGTATATTATTTATTATCTGTAGATACAAAGGCATTATTGTTCCATTTCTTATGTTATTTATTATTGGATTCCATTTCTTGTGTTTCTAAAATAACTACCTTAGAATGCTTTTCTACTGCTAGAATGAAATCTTTAGTATTTAGTAATGAGATAAATCTTGTTGTTATGAATTTTGACAGAAATATTTGATTTTTAAAAGATGTTTTAAGTTACATTACAAGTTCATTATTGAGAAATGCTGAAATCTATAGGTTTTTAATAAAATTCCCAATCACATAGAAAAAAAAAATTCATCTCTTAATTTCTGAATGTAATGAAATCAATAAGTATAAAAGGATAGCCACATTTTACACATCCCCCCTTTTTTTCACACAGTTTGATTCCAGTTTCTTTAAAATAACAGGATAATATAATTGCATTATATTTTGCTTTTCACTTAAATAAGAAATTACGTAACTGCTTAAGCCACAGGCAAGCAAACAGATTACTTTAAAACATATTATTCAATGATATTATGTAAGATATAATAATCAGGATAGTCAACAAAATCATTCTTTTATGTGAAAAAATTTATAATATTTTACAAGAAACTTAATAAGCCTTAAATTAAGTATAAAAATACGGTTATGTGACTAGCATAACTTGAAAGTCCACATATTTTGCATCAAGAAATCGTATACAGCACCTGGAAAAAAAGTGTGTAACTGTATTATCAATAAATATAATTATGTAACAAGTAAATTTAAAATTACATTTTCATAAAGCTTAAACCTTATAAAAATAAAATGAAATCTCTAAAATATATGATCTTACTCAATTACTACATAACATGTACAATAAAAGTTACAGTTAATCAGTTACTATATAATATAAGGTATAGACTGTTGAGTACGATTATACTGGAAGTCAATAAATACCAACGATATCAACTAGTTAACAGACTCTAAAGACATTAAATTTTCCTGTTGTAATCAACAGGATTTTTATTATTTGTTAGATGTAATAGCATTAGCCCCTTTTTACATGTTAAGCTGAAAATTCCTTCTGAAGTATTTTAAAAATGCTAAAAATTTTCCCAGCATTATTTCAGATGCTTAAAATAGGAGCTTCAAGGTTACTTTCCGTCACTTGATATGTAATCATGGAAACAATAGCCACAGAAAAACAAAATGTTGCCTAGCTTAATCCCCCCTTCCGCTTCATTTCCGTTTAGCATGTTTTACTTCACGAAGAGCACATGAATGAAGGCTGACTTGAACTGCGCTCTCAGATGACATGGAAAAATAAATGCCATGCGGTGATGATGACATGAGTTACAATCACAAACAGGATGCTGGCAATGGTTTTGAAGTGCCTACTTTAAAGTAACAGATTACAGAAAAAAAGCTCATGAACATTCCTACCATTATTTTAAACATTCAGACCCTTCTTAACCCTATTTTAAGCTTTCTATCATGGGCTGAATAGAATTACTTGACTAAGGGAAAGCACTATTACGGTTATCTGCCTAATGACAAGAAAACTGGTCTGTATTTGTCTGACACTTGAGAAAAGTTGTGAAACCCCATGTAGCCAGCCTCAACTGTTAGGACAGAAGCCTGAGCCAAATTACCAGAGTTTTTATGTCTTTAGTCATTAGGCCACTGGTTGACATTCTTCGTCACAAAAACTTATATATTAAATATAAAGAAATGTGTGCAAATTTCCTTCTTATTAATAATCTACTATCAAACTGTCATATACCAAGTCTCTAGGTTCGAATATTTAAGGCACTGTAACCATTAAAAAGGAACTGATATTTTCCAATTATGCACACATCGCTGAAAATTTGTTAGATGTTGGCGACTAATTTTTTCACCCAGCAAAGACACAAAAGACAATAATCATTTTTTAAAAATGGTGGCACACCAAGAACAGCAACTAAGTAATAAAATCAAAAATGCAAGAACATAACATAACAAAACAATTACTCATTTTTTTTTCTAGTGGTCTTCCCATGTATAAAGCAATCAGTTCTAGCTTAAGAAAACATTAGATTAAAGCAGAAACTCAGTATCGAGCACAACTTGACACTGCGCATACTGTCATCCTCCCCATGTCTAACATGACCTGTTTCTGCTTTGGGGGGGTGGAATTGCACAAATTTTGATCCATAATATTCACACGTTTATGAAGTACAACTTCATTGAACACAAATTTTTGAATTTAATGTTTTTCCCCCCCTGCATTCTATTAAATTGTCCTATTGAAGTCCTATAGGGCAAAATGCCATGTTTCTGAACAAATGCAATACTTTCTTTCTCATCAGCATGCAAATTCCTTAGTCACATTGTGATTTCTTATAAGAAAAAATAATTATTTGAATGTAAACAAAAACAAAAACAAAAAAAATCAATAATAAAAAAAAAATTACCATCGAATTTGAAAATGAGTTCTCATCTGCTGAACACACACGTGTGCAAACTTGAGCTGTCACATAAATACATTTTGGTGATACCGTGGATTGCTCGTGAACACTTTTCAGAAGACAACCGAATAATCAGAAAGCACCAAGATATTATTTCAGATGGGGTAGGGAATCAAAAGAGTTCATAAAAAAAGTTTTGAAATGTTCTATTTTGATAACACAAGTAACCTTTGACTTACTATAAGTGCTGGTCTGATCATAAGTTGATTCTGATTATAGATGGGCTAGATTAAAACCATTCGCTCACAGAAATGAATCGGTTCTTTTTTATGATTCACCACCCACTAACAATAACCTTGACGAAAAAGATCTGGAATAATGGTAGCTTGCAAGGATGGAACAAACAGCAAAAAGAATCAAGCAAGCAGTGAGATTGGGTCTAGTTAGTGAGGTTGGAGAGAAGACCATAAAAAATTGGACAGGAGTAGAATCAGAAGAACTAAATCAAACACTAACTCCCAGAATTGATTTCTTCCAATTGTACCTTTGAAATTCTCTAAAACCTCCTTTGGTACTTTTTTGTTTTGCCGGCGCAAACGATAAAGTCGCTAATAATGGTACAACTGATGCAAAACAGAATATCTTCGCTGGTAACCTTTTACGCTTCATTTTCAAAACAAGTCGCAGCCATTTCTTATCAGATTGATTGTTTCTTCCAATACTAGCATACAATTACATAGAATTTTTACAAGATAGTTAAATTTTATGCCCTAAGACCATTTGCAGTAATTAAGTCAATTAAGATGCAATTACACCGCTCACTGGAAGGCGAAAATATACAAAGGCAAAATTAAAGGGTTAAATTCACTAATTCTAATGAGAATGCATTAGCGATATAAAGCACTGGGATTTTACATAATTTGAGTAAGCTATTCGTACGAAATGAATTAATTCTTGCATTTAAACTATTGTTCCAAATTAAGATTTAACTTGAAATGTAGATAATTACTGAGAGAATTAGATTTTTGTAGCATAGTTTACGTGAGATGATATCACTTGGGGTCACATGATAAGAACCGGCGAATCAGGATGTTGAACCATGAAAGCATAGTAAATTCTTAAATTAATGTCCTTTTAAAAATTTATTGTCTTTATTTATTGGCTTTTTACAAAATTTTAAACCATATTAAAATCAAACCATATCAAAATAAAAAATTCTTAGAACTAACATTTTGTGTATAGCATATGCTGTCGCCAACAAAGTCTGCTTGGCAAGATTTGCACGATTATTTTAAGCGGAAAAATATCGGAAGTGGGAAACGGAAAAGTACCCCTCCTTTCTACATAGAACTAACAATAGAATTCTACAATAAAAACATTTATTCAAAAATTTGGAAAGTGATAAAATTAAACTCTCTTTTATAAAGCATAAAGAGATAAACATTATTTTCTGCCTTAAATGGAAATTGAACTTTCCTGGAACAACAAGAGCTCTCTTATTTTTCCCCCAATCAGGCATAAGTGCACTCAGCAAAGTGACTCAGTTTGTGAACAACAACAACAACAAAAAACTCTATTCCTGGTATGCTTCCAATAAAAGCTCCCATAAACTGCAAAAGAACTAACTTTATTCCTCTGAAATCAGGGTAAATTCACTCAGTAAAGTGAATCGGTTCTTTGAATCAGTTCCAAAGCAGATTGTCCAATAATCCTGATGTAAGTTGAATTATTTCATTCTTGATAACTCTGATAACACTTTCAAAAATTTATTTATTTAACAGAAAATGTATAAACCTTGCATAACACTTACAGGCAATTTATTTCTTTATATAATACATGTTATATAAAAATATATAAATTATATTATAACAACCCCTTAATACTCAATTTGGGTATTTCACCTCTCTAGTAAAAAAAAAAAAAAAAAAAAATTGAAACGTGTCATTTTGAGACTAATTTTTACCATTTTACTTTCCATAATGGTAGTAACATAAATGGAACTGAAACTCAAAACATCCAAAAATAATTTACAGCATTATTAATTGCACAATCAAATGCACTGAAACCCAAACTAGCTAATTCTGAGTTAAGATTTCATCTTGAACACAAGACCTTTGCTTCTACCTCTGTTTCTGCTAAGACACTGGCACTTTTAACATTGAAGGGATATTTTTTTTCCCCCTATAACAATATCAAAAATGTAAATGTTCTTGAAGGGGCACAATTAGTTTGCCAATTTGTTTGAGGCCATAAAATGTTTATTGGGGGGGGGAAGATATTTAGTCTACCTCCTATCAAATTTGCTCTTCATTATGGATCAGCATACCAGTATCCATGCAATCAACATTTCTTCATCATTACATCTAAGTCTGCTTCCTTCCACACATACATACAATATTATAAATGTGTCTCATAAAATTAACGTATACCCTTCCCTTAAATTAGTTAACATGAACAAAACATGAAAACATATAAACTATTCTTTAATCAGGAAATTCATTAATGTCTGGATTTTCCCTTCATATGTTCTGCTGTAACATTTGGCTGCTTCTCAACTTTGGTGAAACTTTCAATATTTTAATCCATATTTTCAAGAAACTGAAAATTGAAGTTGTTAAAAAGTATTAAGATAGCATATATATCCAGAACTCGGTTACTGCAAATTGTATACCAAGAATCATGTATTCATGACTGTGACTGTGAAATCATGACTGTGAAAGCAAATGCTGTTAAATTGGCTCTTTGTGAAAGGGATGAAATCGATTACAAAACAAAGATCAGAGACATTAAAACATGCTGAGAAAGAGCTTTCAACCTGGCAAAACTGATATATTTTGATATTTGGAAAAACAGGACAGAAACAAATGAAGAAGGTGAGACATGGGAAGACACTGGCTTTTACATTGCGGTGATAATAAAGATGACACTGTGATGATTTTATTTGGCAGTTTTAAGACTGAGGCTGAGGAATTTGTTTCCGAACAAGTTTCTGAATGGTCTGAAATGAACCTTGAGGCTGTGCTTATAGTTGAGCATAAGGTCTCTCTGATCAAGTCTATGGGTCTGGTTGTGAGGGATAATGATGTGGAGGAGTTAGTAAATGGACACAAAGAAGAGCTAACCACTGAGGATCTGCAGGAACTCAAGAAAGATGAACACATGACTAAGACAATTGCACTTTCTTCAGGTTTTCAGATGAGGAGCAGGAAGCCCCTGCTTTATCAATCAAGGATATCTTTACCAAATGGATGGATGTCAAAAACTGCAGAGAAGTAACATCTTAACAAATAAGCTGTAATAGCATTGTCTTGAATGACTACGAAATATCACATTTCTGAGACATTCGGAGGAGAAGGCAGAACCAAAAGTTTTTGGACAAATTTTTAGTAAAGGTCAGGTCTGATGATTCCCAACCAGGTCCAGGTAGGGATCTGACAGAAGGAAACAGACAGAAAAGAGCTATATAAGATTGGCTAATTTTCATTCATCTACAGTATCTGTTTCACCCATTGCATTTGTATTTTAGTATTAGACAGGGTTACAATAATTATAATAGGATTTTGTTATAATATCTGATTAATTATATTTCCTTTATTTCTTGTTGGAAAAGTCAATTTGATATAAGTTAAAGGATGTGCAAGAGAGTAATGATGTATACTGAGGCGCAATTATATTTCAAAATAAAAATCTTATCAACTGGATCAATAAATGGGGGGAATAAATGCAAAATTTCTTATAAATCAATCTGTTCAAAGTTCTGGCTTAAAACTTTGAGTTCTTGAGTTCAATTTTTATAAAATATACAGAATTAAATAATAATTTTTAATAAGTTCTTAATCATACAGCAGCTATATTTATATACAGTTTTACTATACTATAATTCTAGATAGAAAAACTTCATTTTTATGGTTTACTATAGTTGTAAAAAGAAAGTTCTTTTGCATTAAAATTACTAGCTTACCTTATAAGCTGGTATTTTCATTTGCAGCATTCAGTTTGGGCTTAGCAGGTGGTTGAGGTCTAGGTGGTTTTGCTTTTTCAGCATCAACAGCACGTGGGCTTACAGGTGGAACAAGAGAAGGAGCAGTTTCAGATGATGTCACTTTCATAGAAATGATAGTAGGTATAGGCTGTGAAACATCAGATTTGAGATTAGCATCATGAGTAACTGGCAGTTTTTCAGAATTTTCTGGGTTGGGGCCTACAGATCTAGGAGGCCGTTCAGGTGGTTTATCAATATTTTGATTTATCAAAAAATCAAATCGATTAACTTTGGAAGAGGATCTTGAATGCTGCAAAGGAGTCTGACTATGGTCAGTTTTGACTGTACTTGAAGTAGGAACTAAATTGCTATCATCCTGGTTGTCAGTACAGCTTGCACTAGGAGATAACTGGGCGGATTTAGGGGACAATGAAGAATTATCTTCATCCCCACTACCTTTTCTAGGATTATTTCTTATATCAGTCACTGATAAGTTCTCTGAACTGGAGGAATATTTTGGAGGCTTAGCAGGCCGCTCTGGAGGGGGCACTGTAGGCCTCTCGATATGACTGCGAGACATAACTTCCATCATTTTATCACTGCTCATTTTAGTTGATAGCTGTCGCTGCTTTCTGCGATCAAGTGAACATGAAGAATATAAAGGTTTGTCTGGAATGACAGGTTTCTCAAATTTAACAGAAACCTGATCATTAATTGTAATGTTTTCATTAGATTTCCCACACACAACAGTACTAAATGCACTTTTATCTGTTTTTTCTTTGGAAGGAATAGACTGTTTCTCAACCAAGTCACTAATTTTTGCATCATCTTCTCCTGATAAATCTATTAATTCACCAGTGGGAATGATATCTTCACTTAGACTTTTATCACAGTTTACAGACTTCTGAGCTGGAGGTGGAGGTGCTGCTGGTTTCTTTATTGCTTTGTGAAGGGTTCGGGGACTACACGAAGTACTTGATTCATTCCCTGCACTGAAGAGTATGAAAAATAAGTATGGCCAATAAAATAATTAACATGTAGAAAGGCAGAATTTCATAATTTTTTTTTTATATTTATAATAAATTTCACTGCAATCCCTCAGTAAAAGAACAAAATCGAAACCAGTAAGTTTGTGTGCATTTACAGATTAAAAAAAAAAAAATTCTGATGTGTACACCACGACTTCCTTGCATGAAATATTAAATTATATGCATTTTTTCTGCATTTCATTTAAACTTATAGAATTGAATTAAATCTACTTTGTCAACCACAACAGAATAAGTGCACACTTTAAAATTCACTATACAGTACAAAGTCTTTAATCCGGACTCGTTGGGACTTCGGCGATTCCGGATTAGGGGTTTTTCCAGATTATAGATCATCAATTTAAATCTGGTAAGATGGCATGCAAAAATTATAAAATTAAAAATATGAAACTGTAATTTACGAAATAAAGAGCAATTATGATCTAAAGAGTATAAAAATGTACACACAAACACAAAAAAAAAACTTAATATTTATTTGTTTTCTTTATTAAACATTTTTTTCAACACGCGCATGCGTAAAGCATACATTACGCATAGTCAAAATTAGAAAATTGCATCCAGAAAACTATTTGATGTGTATTCGTGATATTTATAATGACAAGGAATTTGATTTAAATCACATCAAAGACGGAGTACATCGAGATGAAATACTACATTTAGTAAGGAATTATAAGCCGAATAAAATAAAAACATCTGCCCTGAAGATGAGGATAGTGCTGACAGATCAACTTCCAGTTCATAGCTTGCCACGACGTTGATAAAACGATAATAATAACAATAATAATTTGCAATTAAAGTTAAGAGTTTCTATGCAAAAATAAGCAATTCGGCCAGCAGGAAACAAGGCAGATTTTTTGGTGCACTAAAATGAAAGCTTAAATTTGGTCCCACTCAGCACAAAGACACTGAAGGTGCAGAAACTGAATTCACTATTCTGCTAAGTATCAAATGTGAACAAATATGGCTGCTATAGTACACAAAAATTAGGATTAGCCGCACTTAATCAATGTTTAAATTGTTGATAATTCAACAACTATTGCATGCAGATTAACTAAAGGCATAAAAACCTTAACTGGAAGATAAGAACAATGTAATTCACCCCTTTTTAAAGCAAAAGATGCACAATTTACCAACATATAAGAATAAAAAAAAATTGAGCTTATGAAGCCGAGTAACATAGTAGATATATATATATATATATATATGTTTAGTGCGGCCGATTGCAACCAAAGGTGCACAACTACATATTATAGCAGTCCTATATACAAAATGTCAACGTTCCGAGGCTACTCGTTTTTAAATTATGCGAGATGCATACAGCATACATATGTACAGACGCCACAAAAAATCTCTTTTGAATCCATTTCAAATCACTTTTATAATTTGTTTGGATGCCTTTATTCTGTCCTTATGTACAGATGTCATACAAAAACATCGTTGATTTGCATTCGGTAGCAGTAAAAATGGGTATTTTCATTGAGATATGATACCCCAAATTTTTCATGATTACAGTGAAGTAAAAAGACAATTATTAAAAAATATCAGATTTTAAATTACATACAAAGGGAGCATTTTTGTAACATTTTGTGTGTTACTTTTATTTATTAAATATCATGCTCTTCACACTTAAACCATCAAATTCAATTCAACAGCAATATCGCATGAGCATATCTTTAGAATTTCCAATACACAGTCTCGCACGCTGCATATAAAAATGTTTTTTTTCCATGCAATATTGCCATTGCTCATTTTGAAATCAGCAAGTTTGTTAATAAAAAAAATTGTTAAAGTTTTACAAAATATTACATCTATAATAAAACAAATTCCAAATTTGACCCTTCTGGATGCCCATATTCGCAGGAGGATAACATTATTCAAATTGGATGGCTCTAGTTACCATTGTTTAATTACAATGTGAGAAACATACATACATTTATGCAGAATTTTCATTATTAATTTCTTTAAATATAATACAAGGCGATAATATTTGGTGGCAACAATTTGAAAAGGGAAACAACGCTATAGTGAATCAACACAAAATGCCAAAACGAAATTAATAGTCCTTCTGCGCAAATTGCCCCTTTGGTCTATTTATAATTAATTATTGTTATATAATCAAAACAGTCATTAATTTCAATAAAAATTCACTGAAAAAGCTTAACCTCTGTTCTCTTATTTTATGTTTTTGCTTGGTATATCATTATAAAATTTTATACGATGCCTTTTTAATTCTAGCAGGCAAGGTAAAATATAAACTAGCAGCAGATTACTTTTATGATATTAGACAGAGACTATTTCAAAACATGATACAGTACAAAGTCTGTAATCCGGACCTCAAAGCTACAAACTTTATGATAATGCGCTTACGCATGCACGTTTAATGTACAACGGACGGTATAAGCTAGGCTAAAATTATCTAAGGAATTTCAGTTAATGTTGCAGATTGTGCTGTTCCTTAATCTTCTAATTGGATCCAGCTTATTATTTTTTGCAGACTGTTAGAGCAATTTTATAAAAAGTAAGCTTGAACTTTCGATTATGTCAAAAAGAATTTCCAATTCTGGAGCTGCCAAAGGACCTACAAAGCGAAAGCATGTTTCGATGTCCATCAAACAAAAAGTGGAATTGCTGCAAAAAATGGATAAAGGCATATCCGTCTCAAAATTATGCAAGGAGTATGGCATTGGATGACACAAGAAAAAAGAAAAAGGAAATTTTTGAATTTTTTGTGGAAGCATCTGAAACAACTTACATTGAAAGAAATGTTTAATAAAGTAAACAAATAAATTTTAAGCCTTTTTTTTTTTTTTTTTTTTTGTTAAATTTGATACCCTTTAGATCATAATTGCTCTTTATTTCATAAATTACGGTTTCATATTTTTAATTGTACAATTTCTGCATGCCATCTTACCAGATTTAAATTGATGATCTATAATCTGAAAAAAAAAAAAAAAAACCTAATCCGGAATCGCTGAAGTTTCGACGAGTCCGGATTATGGACTTTGTACTGTACATTAGTAAATTAAACAATAATGATATAAATTCTTTTATGAAAAGGATAAATAAATTTAGAAATAGCAGGTAGATCAACAAAAACTGCCAAACACAAATTGCATGATATGAAAATATTACCAAGTAGAAAATGTACAGAAGCAAAAATTATTAAACAAAAAAGCAAAATGTAATAAAGTTACATTTCTTGGCATATAATTTCTTACAGTTTCTGCTAGCCATATATCCACAATTGCTGTTAATATGGCTTTAAACGGGTTTTTGCATTCTATGCACTGGTAACACTATAAATTCTGTTGGATATGATAAGAACTTTTTTTTTTAAATTGGTATTTTATTTTGCAGAAGATAATGTAAAATTAGTCATGGAAAGCATCTGTATATCAACGACAAAAGCATTTGCAGATGCAATATTAAAAGTTACAGAAAGGAAAAAGGCAACAGGTTCTTAGCTATCCTTTTTAACACTGTTGCAATTATTTGCTTTATATATATGTGTGTTTTTACGTACAATCAATATATAAATAAACTTAAAGCATCTAAAGTTTAATTTTTATTTTTATAATTTTGCATATTTTTCCTTTCACATTTATATTTTTCGAGTTTGCTCTTCTATGAATTCTTATTTTAATTTTGATTTGTTTAGATATTGTGTTAAACCTTTTATAAATAGTTGCAACTAACAGTTGAGGAATTACCTTGCTATGATTCCAATTTAATATTAACTTTAGATGCTTTAAGTTTATTCTACTTCAATCCTGCAGCTATAGCACAGGACGGGGTTAAATTAGAAAAAAATAAATAAATAAAAAAAAAAAAAAAAAAAAAGACCTTATTATGTTTCTTTTTGTATTTGTATATTTTCATTAAATATAAAACACACATGCTAAAGAAATACAATGGGCTAAAGCTTGATTTATATTTCTCTTTTTAACAAATTAGCTTTAGTTTCTATTAATAAATATCTATCAATAAATATGTATTTTACAAGAAGATAACCTAAAGGATAAGTAATAACTTTACAGATTAACATAAATGTAGTGAACATAATATGCGAGTATAGAATGTATGATTTTCTGTATTCTTCAAAAAATAAAATTTAAGTTCAAAACAGAAACCTACTTATTAATTACTTGCAGTGTATTTCCATTTATTTCACCTTCAGTTCCAAATGAATCCTCCAAATTTTCAGCACTTTCATTTAAATTGGAAATTCCTGGAGACATTTTTGAAGACACTGGTATTTCATTACCTTTGAGAAATATTTGTTGAACAAATTTTATTAATTACTTTTTCCCTTTTCCAAATTAAGAATGAGTTATCTGTAACAATTAACCACTTGTGCTAAAAAGACGTGCCATGCACGTCGAGATGCTTTTGTCTCAAACCGCGCAAAAAAATGAAAATAACGTAGTGCACACGTCGCCTAACAACGAGATTGTTTATTTCTCGAGTTACAGCTCTGGATTGTACTCGCAGACGCGGTGCAGCATAAATGAGGCACTTGTTACGCTTGATATATTGTAACACACGGCACCGCAACCGTGAAGTTTAGTCGTAGCGCAAGTGGTTAAAATGAATAACATAGAACAAAACTAAATAGTATTCAACAAAAAAGTAATGGCTTAATAAATTATGCTATGAAATACAGGTATTATTAATTACAAGTAACCCTCGTATAAGACGGTAGATAGGTTCCTAGAAAATACCGTGTTGTGTGAAACCGTGTTTTATGAGACACAGAGCCAGTATAAAATGGGTGGTTATGTTCCGAAAACTTATCAAAAACATACATATTTTTTTAATTCTACATAAACAACTTAATTTTTATTAAACATATATATGTATGTACAAAACGAAACAAAAATATTACATATTATATTTTAATATTATATATTATATTTTAATTTAATGCAACTTTACGATATTAATAAATTTCTTCATTGTTACTGCTCAGTATAATCAAATGAGAACGTTTTTTCGGTAGAATGAGATCGCTTTCACTTTCAGAATTTCTTCCTTCATTTAAAGTTTTGGCATTTCCTTCCCTTCTAAAAAATCTGTGATTTTACTTTGCTTACTAGTTCTTACCGGGTCAATGTAAATTTCTTGATACGGAGCTAGACAGTTTTGCAACTCTCTTTTGAATTTTCAGCTTATTTCAGCAAAAGGATCTGCAGTCAAGAAAAATTATTTGAGATTTTCAACTAAGCTTAGGCATCCTTTTAATTTTTTTTAATGTTAAATTATAAAATGCACAATCTTCATTAGTGCTGGAGTCCTATGAATTGATTTGATTTACAGCTTCGGATGCCATTTCCATCAAATCTGCTTTGTCAATTTCTTCTTTCGCTAATGAATTCTCGAACGTTCTCAATAGCCATCTTCACAAAACCTTCGCCTCCGATTGATTTAGCAAGTTCTAATAACGGCACCAATTTCATTTTTTGACGATTCACGCACGTTTTCTATTACAACTGAAGAGGGCTATGTCTTCTTCTAACACGAATTTAACATTGATGCTTTCAGTTCTTTCAGAGACATAGAAGGTGAACGATGTCGATGTCGATTCAGTGCTGTAATCTGAAAATGTCTTCCAAGCTTCCATTACATTAATTTTGAATCGGTTACGTCTAAAATCCACTGTAACGCTCTTCTTATGTAATATGTTTTAAAAGTATAAATGATATCTTGATCCAATGGTTGAAGTAACGAAGTAGTGTTAGGTGGTTGGAACAGTATTTTTATGCTGGAATGATTCAAATCTTGTGGGTGACATGGAGCATTATATAATAGTAATAGCGCCTTGAAGCTCAAATTTTTCTGCCTTAAATAATGTTAAGCGTCTGACACAAAACAATTTAAGAGCCAATCTTAAGCTTCATAATCATTGTCCTAGCAGCTTCATAATCAGCCAATGCAGATTCTTGAATTCTCATGCTATAAATTGCAAGAAGATTTTTGAAATTTTCGAGCCAACCTTTATTTGCCACAAAATCTGGGTTAACAGAGAATTATCCGTGTTCTTTAAAGTGCTTGAAAAATTTGAGTGCTTTTTGTTTAATGATATTAACACCCAACGGAATTCTTTTTTGGCAGCTATCATCAATCCAAATGCTGAATGTCTTTTCCATCTTCTCAATTATTGGTGCCTGAGGTGAACTGCATGTTTTGTGGATGGTCAAAGATCCTGCAGCAACAGCACTACTTATTTATACTATATGGGTGCTTTGCTCAATATGGAAAATCTTTGTGCAGAGTTTCTTCAGACTGCTTGGACAATTTTCTTATCGTGTTAGAGAGAAACCCTGTTATAAGAAAACTGGGCTGTAGGAGGGTTCTTTCAATTTACGAATTGTGTTATAGCGAAACTATGTTGTAGGAGGGCTACCTGTACTTTTGATCTTTTACATTTAAATAGGTAAAATCTGATAGCTAGCTGAGAAATATTCTGCAACAAGATATTATTTTTATTTGAAAAGAACTCACCTGGAAAAAACCAATCAGCATATGAAATCAACATATCAACAACAGTTGTATGTAAACTTGCAGCAGACATATTCATTCTGAAATTTAAAAATACTTTTTTTTTCCAAATGGCAGATTATACAGACAACCATAAACAGAACAACAAAACTAAAAACAATATACAGTATAATCTATAAATCTATTTTGTCTCATCTCTCTATCTCTTCCAGAGTAATCCAGCATAAGTGCAAGGCAATGACTTAATTTAAAAATAAAAATGATATATTATCTCATTTATCAATATTTATTTATTTTTTGTACATCACATTTGGTGCAATATTTGCAGGATATTTACATGTTCTGATACGATAATGTTTATATCTATCTACACTTTAACGTGACTTGTGGAAACAAAGTTTTACGTGTTAAAACAAAATTTATATTATATGGAAGTATACTATACTGTTCAATAGTTTTCTGGAAAATCCAGATGGAATAGTAGAATTACCAGATATTAAGTGGTATTGTTCATCTATTATGTCATTCTACGATTCCTTGCTTTTACTGCTGGTGACATCTCTTTTCTGCTAATGCTCTAGTCTCAGATTTTGAAATATAGTAATAGTTTGAATTCTTAAGACTTTGAAACATTTAAATACCTTTTTTTGACTACTGCTGCTGCCTGGAACTCATTTACAAACTATAGTAACTCCCCCCCATTTAACACAGACTCACGTAAGGTGAACAACAAATCAGGAGCAAAATTTCGGTCCTTGACAGCTGTGTACCTGATCTTATAGAAAGTTTTATCATTTAATGCAAATTTTGGCTAGCATGAATTAAGAATAATTCACTGCATCATTAGATTTTTTCATTTAACACAAATTAAAAAAAATTTTCAACCTAACAAATGTAAAGGTTCACATTCCCCCCCCCCCATATGCAACAAATCGTTTTCAGCCTTTGGATCAGGCCATTATTGCTCCTATGAAGAGGTTTTACCACAAATGTCTGGTGATACAATTTGCACTGCTGTAAAGTAGGTGAAAACATCAACTTCAAGCATGCTTCTTAAATAAAAGCTATCACTGCATTCTGGAAATCCATGGTTTCACAACACATGGAAAACTTTTTTAGCACAACCTGGAGACAAAGATGCTACTCCCATTGATCAATTAGATGGTAACAATGTAACCACTTTACTTGACAAATGGAACATTCTATATAAGATACTGCAAACCCTGGTGTTAATTCTGAGGAGTATGCTAGTGTAGATAACAATGAGGCCATGTGTACTAAGTGAAATCTGCCCTACAAGTAGTTGTATTTGAAGTGCAAGAAATGTTCTTAGGAAAAAACTGAGGAAAACAATATCAACACACATTGCTGTACAATCCAAACTGACCACTACTTTTACACTTGCATTTTTGTTCCTATCAGCAACAGCACGATATACAGGAATTTTTCATCAGAAAATGATCTGTGAATATATTATTCAAGTTAAAGTACAGTAAATCACGTAACATTGTAGCATTTTCTATGATGACATACATAATATACTGTAGTCTGTACGTACAATGAACAGAAAAAAATGGGAGAGTTCTGTATCTCCCTTTCTACTCACCTGATTGATGAAATTCAAATTGCGTTTTTCATGTCTCAAAAGCACGACTTAGAATATGTATTAGATTCATAAATAGCACTATTCTACCATAGGTATTCTGACACAAAATCGGACCTTTTTCTGAACTAACATATTAATTTTTTTCCATATTTCAACTTTATGACTCAAATTATGCCTAGATATTAAATTTTACAATTTTTGGTGTAAAATTTATGGAGAAATTAAAAAAATTATCTAGCTGTATTTTTTTTCACTTTGCAGAATTCTTAATTTTTAGTAATCTACTTACCCTTTTTTTTTTTCATTGATGCAGGAGAATAAAAAAGGTCCATTGTTCATTCTTTCAAATAGTTTTAACAAAGTGCATAAACCACATTTTCATTATTATCGCTTATATTAAATATGCCAAATTTCAAAACGCGTCAAAATGTAAATTCAAATGTATATCTTAGGAAATTTTGAATTAAAAAAAACTCTCACTTTTTGCAGATATGCTTAGAAATACATCTACTTTAAGATGATGTTAAAAATTTTATAGTTTATGATACAGTCAAAAGTCGTTAATTCGGACACCCATAATTCGGAATGATCTATAATCCGGACCTCAAAAGCTAGAAACTTTCTGCGCATGCTCCGCGTTGACACATGCGCATAGACGTTTACGCGTGCGCGTAAGACCTCTTACAACTGCGCATTTGCGTGTGCGCAAGCACAGAATACGTTTTCACGTGCGCGTTTTATGTATAACGGACGGTGTAAGCTAAAATTATCTATTTCAGTTAATGTTGATGATTGCGTTGTTCCTTAATTTTCGAATTGGATCCGGCTTATTATTTTTTGCAGACTGTAAGAGCAATACTAAAAAAGTAAACTTGAACTTTCGATTATGTCAAATAGAATTTTTGATTCTGGAGCTCCCAAAGGATCGTACAAAACGAAAGTATGTTTCGATGTCCATCAAACAAAAAGTGGAATTGCTGCATAAAATGGATAAAGACATGAAGAATGTGACAGAGAGGTTAGTGAAAACGAAAAAAAAAAATTTGATTGACAAGTTAGTCGGTATTCTCGGCACAGCAATTAACGGGACTTGAACATCGGAACTTTGTAAGTGAACAAAAAATTATGTCTGTTTATAGAATTAAAAAGAAAGTATTATCACATAAAACGAAACAACTTACATTGAAAGAAATGTTTAATAAAGTAAACAAATAAATATTAAGCTTTTTTTTTTGTAAATTTTGATACCCTTTAGATCATAATTGTTCCTTATTTCCTAAATTACGGTTTTGTATTTTTAATTTTAGAATTTCTGCATGTCATCTTACACGATTTAAACTGATGATCTATAATCCGGAAAAATCGATAATCCAGAATTGCCGAAGTCCCGACGAGTCCGGATTAACGACTTTTGACTGTACAAACCTTTTTTCAAAATATTTATAAAAAATATTTAAAAATATAGATATTTAAAATAAATAATAAAACATGTGTGAAATATATTTGGATTAAGTCTAAATTTCAAAATCTGGAAGAAGGAATCAAGTAAGTTTAATTGGGGGGGGAGAAAGGATATTAACAAATATATATCAAATTCAATTAACATGGAGGTGCTAAAATTTGAAAGCTAAATTTTTAAAAACTACTTGTGTGATTTTTACAAAACTTAGCAGTTTGGCAGAATTTGAATCACAGGCTCGAAATATGAAAAAATATTGGCATGTCATTTCAGGAAAATTCCACTTTTGATATTAGAACTACGCTTTATATATAAGTCTAATACATATCCTAAGTCATGCTTTCCAGACTAGAAGAACACAATTTGAATTTCATCAATCGGCCCAGTAGAAAGGGTGATATAAAACTTCCCCCCCTTTTTTTTGTGCAGTCTACATGAATTACTTTATAGTTTCATTTTGCAGCACAATCCAGGCTTTGCCCAACAATGAGAAGTTAACTTAGTATACACGAAATGAATTTTAAGTCATAAATTTTGTGCCTATTTAAAAACACTTTCCAACTATCAAATATGAATTTCTTGAATTTGATCTATAGAAATAACATACCCAAAAGTAGCAGATGTTTCTTCAGAAGGTGGCCATATTAAATTTGGAGCAATAACAATGGCAATATTCTGTGAAGACATTTTGTTCACATCTACATTTTCATGCAGCTTGGATAAAAATTTTATAAGATACCTATGAAAACAAAATATTTTGGGTAAAAGATTAGGAGTAGCATGTAATGACTTTCAAAATATAAAATATTTGCAAAGTGTTTCCAATACTGGTTTGTTTTAAGACTTTTTATTACAAATCTAAAATAATATTAAAAAATAAATTTTTCAAACTACCATATTTTGTGAAAATAAAACTGATACATATCACAAATTCACATTATATATATCACACTTGCATGTGTTAAATACCTCTTGACTAAACTACAAATGTTTGCAGCTGAATCCATTTTCAATATTATATTCTTAATTAAATAATTTTCACAAGCAAAAGACAGGTATTAGCTTTAGAAATGAACAAATGTTAACTAGAAAATATTTATCTTCAGAGATAATTGACAGTTTTCCCACTCATTTTTAGGGCAATATATTTTATTTTAGTCTTCCCATTTATCAAAATGTATTAATTTTTTTTATTTTATTTGCAGTCTGCTCTTCCCAGACAGTAAAAGCTATATTTCACACTTTTTTTTTTTTTTTTTTTTATCTTTCCTTTCTAATTTATTCATCAGATGATAATACAATTGTCACTTCTTTTTTTTTTTTTTTATCATATTTTTTTTAAAATGGCATATTTCTGGAAAAAAAAAAGACTATTTTTTTTTTCTTTAAAGACAATAAACCTCATACTGTGTACAGATTTCCTATGGAATCAAAATCTAAACTAATACCCAAATTCAAAGCTTACACAGCACCCAATTTTGCAAATTATATGCTGAAATAATCTCTAAGAAATGCAAGACATTTAAGAAATATATCCGTGTTAACTTACTGTAAATTCTTAAAATTAGCATCTGGTAGTTTATGTAGGACTTGCCATAATGCTTGCAATCTTGAATCAAATTCTTGTATTCTAGAAAAGATATAGTTGACGAATTTATAAGATGAATATAATTTAAGAATAAAAACAAAATCAATAACTGAATTTATACAACACACACACACACACACCACAAAAAAAAAAAAAAAAAAAAAAAAAAAAAAAAGAAAGAATTGCCATCTTTAAGATCTTTATATTATATATTCATCCCATTTTGCCATTCAATAAGTGGCAAAAATATAATTATTTTTTGATGGAAATGATTGAAAATATATGAATTCCAGATATTTTTTTAATTACAAAAATTACACATTATTATATTATTTATTTAAATAAAAAAATCAAGTTATCAGGCACCTAGCATTAATTTAGCAGTCATGAAGTCTTGCAGATTTCTTTGCTCCTGATGAAGAGGTACACTGCTCCCCCCCAAAAAAGGGGGCAGGGGAGTTCTACATCTCCTGTTATATTAGCCCTATTGACAAAATTCAAATTGCATTTTTCATGTCTCAAAAGCACGACTTAGTATATATATATATATATATATATATATATTACATTTATACATAGCATTGTTCTAATATAGCTATTTTGACACAAAAATCGGACTTTTTCTGAAATGCCATTTTTTCCATGCATACTTTTTGATTCTATGACACAAATTATTCCTAAATATTAAATTTTGTAATTTTTCATGAGAAATTTATGAAGAAATTTAAAAATTTATCTTGGCACATTTTTTTTTTTTTTTTTTTTTTTTTTTTTTTTTTTTTAAGTTTGTACCAAGAATACCTCACTTGGCAAACTTCTTAATTTATAGCAATCTATTTTCCTTTCCTGTTTTTCATTGAACACGAGTGGAAAAAAAGTAATCACTCATACTTTCAAATAATTTTGATAAACCACATTCAATGTTATTATCGCTTATAACAAATATGCCAAATATGTAAAAATAAAAAGATACTACATTTTTCATGTGCAATTATTTTATTATAGAAAGGCATGTTCATTTTTAGATTTTTCCTGCAATCTTTACTTTTAATGATGCTAATCTTAGATTGGTATCGTTTTTTAAATTTTTTAAAAAAAATTGTTTAAGTTACTTATCTCAAATTTTTTTGTATATAGGCAGCTGAAACAGGCTGGGAAAAGAGATAAATTCAATGAGACAGTATATTTGGCTCATTATCTTAAAGAATTTAAATTTGTTTTTGGTGTTCTCAGTCTCAGTGAATTAGTTGGAATGAAACTTGTTTTTGCCTGTCTACTTACTCTATTTTGTTTAAAGCTTCAAAGCACTTTTCCCTTGACAAGTTCTGTTTGGGGCTCTGAATAAAAGAGATTAACCTATCTTTTTGATACTCCTAGGATGCCATTGTTTGTGTTTAGCATTTTCAGTTCTTAAATTTATTGTTCACTTTTTGTTTATGATTAAATAATTTTCTTTTGCCATGTGTTTCAGAAACAGAATTAGGTAGAGTCCAAATATTCTTACAGCTTCGTTAGATTTTGATTTTGACTTCTTAAATTCATTTAAAAATTAAGCAGTACTAATCGCTAATTTTGAACTTGTTAGTACTTTTGTCCTTTTTATAAACTGAACTTAGACTACTTTCTAATATATTAGAACAATGCTATACGTAAATCTAATACATATCCAAAGTTGCGCTTTCAAGACATGAAAAACGCATGTAGAATTTCGTCAAGCAGCCTAGTAGAATGGGAGATATAGAACTGTCCCCCCCTTTTTTTGCGCAGTGTAACTGTTTGCCATCAAAATTAATTGAGATCTTGACTAAATCTATATGAGACGCAAAGTTGCTGCTTTGCAAATTTTATGTTTTAGGCATCTAGGATTTTAACAAAGCATTTGGGTTCTTCAATACTACAAGTATAGAATAAAAGATTTTTGTTCAATGTTTTTGATACATTTTTAGACAATGAACTTAAAACATAATCATATCCTCAACTGTCATTTTATCATAAAAATAAAAAAAAAATTAACTAAAAGCGGTTTGTCTCATTGCAAAAGAAGATCTCCTTAGAAAATATGCTCAAATCTTCAGCTCTGGACATAAAAAATTTAAATAGCCTTCTAGAAAATAGAAACTTTTTTAAATGATGTCAAAAAGTTCTTTTCTTTTTTTTTTTTTTTTCATAATACGAACAAAGATATAAGTTGGTCTCACCGTATATTTTAAAATCATAAGAATTTTAAATTGATCTTCAAAAATATAAACAATCATGATTAGGTAAATAGTGAAGAAGACTTATAGTATGCATATATCCAAGGCAATGGAAGGATACAATACTTTCTTATGTTTCTGTTATAAGTGAAATAGTAGAGAAAGAATTATTAACACATGAGCAATATATTTTGGTCATAAATATCTTTAAAATTTAGAAACGAGAGCGTGAGAGAGAATTTCTCAAATGCTGTAAGTACTTCTACAATAAGTTCCTTATCCTACAAGAAAAATACAAAGGATAATTTTATTGGCAAAGATGAGGTCATTATCCTAAAGCAACTTTTATAGCATTAGAAGATAAATGTAAGATGATAACATTTTCCCTGTGACTAAAATGTGCTTGGAATTCCTTTAGAAATGCAATAATTAAGTTCTTTGTATAATAAATACCCTGAACATGCATTTATAGTTGAAAACATGCTACAAAAATGCAAAGGTTCAGGACATTTTAAGAACATTAAAATTTATTCTTTGAATGAAAATTATACTGCACAAGATAGTGTAAAACATGACTGCTTTGATAAAGGCATTGAGCACACAGAAAAAGACATATTAAAGCCAATGAAATATTGTTATAATAATGGATTACCTGGACTGGCTATAGCAATACAAAAATACAGAATCAATTAACTAAAGGAAAAACAACAGAAGCAGCTTCGCTACCAAAATGACAGCATAAATTTCTGGCTATGATTAAGATGTAAATAACCAAATTTGATTAAATTTTACAAATACATATATTTTAAACTGGTCTAAAAGCATGTTTCATTATGGCAGTTTTTTATGATCAATTATTTTAAACACACATTTAAAAATTAAAAGCTCACCAAATACATATCATACTAATAAGTCAGAAATGTAAGCAAATTATGAAAAAATTACACATTACAGACAAAATCTTTAGTTTTAAATTCAGATTACCAAATTACTATAAACTAGAAAATGCTTTTAAAAAAGTGATAATGATCTATCTTGCTATGTGAAATATTGACATAGAAGTTAACAATAAAATTTTAGAACTAGAGGTAAAAAATTCTTAATGGCGCAGTTAGCACAGCAACAGAATTTGATCTGTAATGTGTGACAGTACATTCTTAGACATATGAATGCAAAATATTAGTCAAGAATACCAAACTATGCAATGGGGGGGGGACAAGAAACAACTGTAGATAAATGAATTCAATGCATTTCAGATATTTCAGAAACTCAAAATAAAAGGTAAATTAAAGACAATTAAAATAAAATAATGCAGCTCTAAAAGTGACAGAAAACCTTTAAAATCTAGTGCTAAAGCTGCTTAAGATTTAATTAATCAAAAACTTAAATCAATAATTTAGTAGAACCAGATTAAACTATCTTAGAAATCTCCTAAAATTGCAATAAAATATTAAATTTAAAAAACAAAGAAAAAAATATGAGGATACCATATTATTTTGGAATTTTTTTAAATTTATTTAACCGCTTAATGACTGTGGCGGAGGTATCTCGGAAATAGATGCCGTTTCGATTTTCCTATGAGCGAGTTAAGTGCTGAAAATGTTACTGATATTTAATGCCATCACCAGTAATATCACGTGGCAACTGACACTCTGCCATGCACGTTTTCTTAGCTGTGAGAGGGGTCCAAGCGGCTTTTGTGATTGGTTCAGCGACCCTCTGCCATGCACGTTTTCTTAGCTGTGGGAGGGGTCCAAGTGGCTTTTGTAATTGGTTCCTCCATGACCCTGAGCTGCAGTCAGCAACGTGGCCGCATTATAAATAAACAGTAAATTCAGCTTCTTTTGTTAGTTGATGCAGATTAACAAATTATCATGCTGTTGCAGCCTGTGATGTGCTATTTATTATGTGGTACACCCTGTTTCAGACTGTACCATACTGTCAGTGACATCTACAGATCATAAAACGTATTTATTTGATTTTTACTTTAGCTCTTATTACCTATACTACAGTTTTATATTACTTTTGGGTAGATTTTTTTTTTTTTTTGCTGCTTCATTGAAGCCTTAGTTAACTTGGGGTAATGTCATAAACCATAATAAATATTGTTTCTTTGCCTCGAAAAAGAAATTTTTTTTTTTTTTTTTTTTTGAGATTTACAAAGCTACATTTAGTGAGCTATATCTGTAGATAATAAAAATGTTATAAAAAATTCAGAAATTTTTGACATAATTTTTAATATAAATTTGGCCACTAAGCGATTAAAATGAACTTATAAATCATATTACAATTCTGAAATACATTTTACATTATTCATATTTTCACTTCCAAGGAGTAATAATATGAAACATTACAATCTGAATAATCTTTGAGAACTGAATCATGTTTTGGTTTGCAGGATCTTTTGAGTAATTAAAGATAAAAATAAAATAAACACTAAAAAGAAAATTAAAACGGAAAATTGAAAAATTTGAGAGACTGATTCACACTGGGGTAACTAGAAACTTTTTGAGCATGAGGTGTAAATACTGTATATAATTTTTGAATTTCTATAATTGCATATAATTTCTTCAGATTATTTACCCCTTGAGAAGACAGTCTGGAGCATGAAAATATGAATAATCTAAAAGATACCTTACAATTTTAGTACGATTTAGAACTTCACTTTAAAATAAATTAAAATTTTCTTTTCAAACTAGTATGGGGTCATCTTACCTTTTCCTTTATGTTTTTAAAATTTAACAGGTTTATTTCAATAGAATTTTAGAATTTTCCTAGGATGGTTTATTCTACTTTTACTAAATTATTAATTTTTGTTTTTGATTAATTAATAAATTAAAAATACTTTCACTTTTTTCTTGATTTTCTGAAAATTCCATTTACTTATACTTTTAAATTATAAAAAAGTGGTATTTGTGTTTTGTTCCAAACCATAAGTTTTAGTAAGTGCCAAGATAATTTGAGCATTGGCTATTTCAGTTGCTGCACATGTACCAATGCAAAGATATTGACAATGTATATATATATATATTTAAATTTCTGGTGATACTGTCAAATTATTGCTTGCAATATAGACTTAAAGCTGTCTCTAGAATAATAACAGTAAATATATAATGTAGCTTAGCTTCTGTATCACTATCTGATAAATTCAACAGACTTATGATGAAAATAATAGATTGCAAGCATGTGAAAGGCTTGAATATATCATCACATGCTTAAGAACATGACACAAGTTAAGCAGACACGTACATAATTGCAGCAGAATGGCAGACATATATCAGAAATTTATCCCTGTTTTCAGTGCTTACTGAAACTCCCTATTTCTAGACATGACATAAGTGCCTAAAATTGTTTAATATATATTAAGTTAAAAAAAATCATGCAGAAAATTTATACAAATAAGCTTCAGCAACTTATCAAAGCAATTTAAAAAAAAAATTTTTTTTTTCAGAATAAGCTTCTACTTTTGAACAAATAAAAAACTGCACAATAGGAAATTTGTGCAGTATGATCTTTACTTTTCATTATAAAAATTCCTTACTTTGCAGCATTAATCCATTCATCATACAAGGAAAATGTCATGAGAGGTTCAGGAAGTTCTCTTAAATATGATTTTAAAGCACCTATAAAAAATGTAAAAAGAAATCTAACCGAGATGAATACTTATTCAATATTTAGAAATATAATTACTTTTTATACACAAGTATATAATTCATTAACCTTCAGGTATTACTGTATATTAAATTTATTTAAATATGTATACAAAATAAGCATGATAATTACACTATTTCTCTAGAGCTCATCAACTTATTTACAATGTACAGTACAAAGTCTTTAATCTGGACATCCATAATCCGGACCTCAAAGCTACAAACTTTCTGCGCATGTGTAGCGTTTACGTTAGAATTACGTCATAATACGTTTATGCATGCGCGTTTAATGTACAACGGACGGTATAAGCTAGGCTAAAATTATCTAATTATCTATTTCAGTTAGTGTTGTAGATTGTGTTGTTCCTTAATCTTCGGATCCGGCTTATTATTTTTTGCAGACTGTTAGAGCAATTGTATAAAAAGTAAGCTTGAACTTTCGATTATGTCATAAAAAGTTTCTGATTCTGGAGCTGCCAAAGGATCTACAAAGCGAAAGCATGTTTTGATTTCCATCAAATAAAAAGTGGAATTGCTGCAAAAAATGGATAAAGGCATGAAGAAAGTGACAGAGAGGTTAGAGAAAACGAAAAAATTTCGATTAACAAGTTAGTCGGTATTCTCGGCACAGCAATTACAGGACTTGAACAGCGGAACTTTGTAACTGAACAAGAAACTATGTCTGTTTATAGAATTAAAGAGAAAGTATTAGCACATGAAATGAAGCAACTTAAACAACTTACTTTGAAAGAAATGTTTAATAAAGTAAACAAATAAATATTAACCCTTTTTTTGTAAATTTTGATACCCTTTACATCATAATTGCTCTTTATTTCATAAATTATGGTTTCATATTTTTAATTTTATAATTTCTGCATGCCATCTTACCAGATTTAAATTGATGATCTATAATCCAGAAAAACCCCAAATCCGGAATCGCCGAAGTCCCGACGAGTCTGGATTAAAGAATTTGTACTGTATACATATTTTAATGAGTGAAAAAAATGAGTATTAAAAATAGTTAACATACATTACTAAGTATTTACTCCTCCTGTGAAAGAAGTAACATTTTCCTGAAATCTAGCATTTTTTTAATTACTGCGATAGCCATTATGAGATCAATATTATTTTGTTAAAGCAAAATTAATCCATCTAAAAATAAAATATACACTACCAAGCCCGAGATCTGGAACTGTCAGGACTTCGGTGATTTCAAATTTTAGATCAGCACTTTAAATCTAGTGATATGGCATACAGATAACATGAAATTAAAAATTTGGAATAGCAAAGCACTTGTGACATTATGCGGAAAAAATTTACACCCCCCCAAAAAAAGCAAGCAAGCAGCTCAGCATTTATTTGTTTATGTTATTAAACTTTTTAATTTTACAATGTTTTCTTTAATTTTATAGACAGACAAAATCTCTTGTTCAATTAGAAAGTTGTCCAGTTCATGTCCTGTAGCTGTTGTGTCAAAAATTTCCACTGAACTGTTAACTGAAATCTTTTTAATTTCAAAAATTTCTTTATCACTTTAATCCCTATTGGTAGAATATTTTTTGTATTTAAAACCATACTCTAGATTTGGCTGTCCACTAGCTAATTGGAGCATTGCAATGAAAAACTTCGTTATATCATCTTCATCTACATTTCTTCCTAAGTTTCCTACCTGGAAAATTTCACTTTCTGTAGCATTCCAAAGTAATGTTGCTCTTTTGCCTAATTTTCAAATTTTATTTTCTAAGCCTGAATTGTCCCAATTCCATTTTCTCATGCTAAGGCCACTATAGAAGGTAAGTACCAAATATGCATTAGCTTTGTAGATTCTGCTACTGCTTCAGCATTAATACTTTAACGAGCGATCGTCTATTAATCGGCTTTTTATCGCCAATGCTTACCGACTGATAGCCTATTAATCGGCTTTTAATCACCAACGCCTACCGGCCGATCGCGTATAAATCGCCTTTTTTCCGCCAATGCCTACCGACCAATAACCTATTAATCGGCGTTGTTTCGCCAATGCCTACCAGCCAATAGGCTATTAACCAGCTTTTTTTTAGCCAATGCCTACCAAACGATAGCAATGGCTTTAGACAATTGCCATTTGCTATATCATCTGCATTTTATTATTAGTATTGAGGTACATTGCTCAATTGCATTAAGTGCGTTGCTTCATAAACTCCCCCATTTTCACATTGTTTTTAAAAAATTTATTGTTCACGATGAGCGAAAAAAAATGGTACTGGAGAGTTTTATTTAGACAATTTATCAGATTGTCCTGACAGTTATTCAGAATAGGGAGAATCTGCAGCTGAGCGGCCGTTCGGACGTGCGTATACTGTTGAACCGCTAGCGGTCAATCAAGTGTTAAAAAGTCTTTTTGATCTAATCAAAAATTAACTTTAAGTTTGATAAGATAGTAGTAATAATATCTTGAAAAAAATAATAAGCTGGATCAAATTAATTAATGAAAAGAGCAATTTGCTATTTAACAAAACTTAATTCTCTTCAAGTCTAATTCTTTTTCTGTTCCTTCTGCTATGCTAACAAAAGGAAACCAGTATTAACAGCCCACTTCAAACAAATATGTCTTGGGGCTGCACTTATTGAAATCAAGACAGAAAAATATTAACCCCCTCTGCAACTGCTCAAGGGCCGAAAGCGTGGTCGCAGCCATAGTAATTCTTTAGCCAGCAAGTGCCTGAAGGCGATCTCTAAGACTTTTAGACAGAAGAAAAAATAACTTTTATGACATACCTGCTTTTTTCTGAAGTATTATATTTTCCATTCCTAAATTTTTTTGGCAAAAAAATTGCTGATGTCCGGAGGTCTCGCTATCAGATTATTCCAGATATTGGATGCCTGGAATTCGGACTTTGTACAGTATTAAATTTTTAAATTAACTACAAAGCCACAAAAATTAAAAATGATTATCCATGCTACTGATAACAAAAGTCACTGTCATCTACTTGACATCAATTTTATTAAAAGATCCCATTATATTGAATTTAATAAGGCCTACAAATATCCAAATGGCTAAAGCTATTTGCTGCAGCTGAAACTGTACTCCAGATAAGTGAATGTGTTGGCAGTATGAGGTTTCACAATTCAGCCAAACAGCTTTGAACAATGTTCCATTCACCATTTTAATATTCGCCACTTTAACACCAAATTACTAATACACACCATTTCCATGAACATATCCGAATGACTAAAAGCCACAAAACACTTATTTATCCAAGTTCTATTCTTGAGAACTGAATGGGATTGCTGCCTGAGGTTTCAGTTGAGCTAACTGGCTGCAGCTGTGAAACACAAATAGTTTCTTCCAGGGTCTAATCCTGGTGACTGGATGACTAGCAACATTTTATAGGATTTTAATCCATTCTCATAGCTGTCAATTTGCTTCGCATCAATATATGTAGCATTATTCACACAACAGTGTATACATTTATTTTATTTTCATCATGTTTAAAAGTTATTTGATAAATCAAAGCATAAACTCCCTATTCAGGATTTTTTCAGATTAAATTCTAAAAAAGTTACAAAATGAAATTAGCCAAAACACATAAAATTTAGAATATCTAATTAAATATCGATATATCTTACATCAGAATGTTATCATATTATAAATAGTTCAATAACCTAAATCATGCATCGTAAAATAAATTTAAGTCAGCTTGTTCTTTTGATATGGCCCTGTCCCACAGCAAGAAATCCTTTGTGAAACCCAATTTTTGCACAAGAATCTCCCAATTTGTAGCTATGCATCATTTGTAGGTATTCATCACATAAATACAAACTAGTGTTCCCAGAAAATACTTTTCTTTGACAGAAATTCCTTGCATGTTTTATCATTAATCAATTAACCAACTTATTTAAAATTCAAGTTACCTTAATTTTAAATTATTGAGATAAAAAAGCATTATTCAAATAAAAACACATTTTATGTACTGGTTTTTCATATACAATTTCTTTTTACAAGTTTTTTACCAGTAAAATTGTAAATCATTTGTTTTGGGGAGTTTAAATAAACAACAGTTTATTCATTTTAAAATACAACACTCAATATTGTAAAACAATGAATTTAAATACTCTGTGTTTATAGCATGACACTGTTATTTTCTATCAAAAACTAAAATTTTCATCTGAAAAATACTAACCTGAAACAGCATGAGGATCTCTAAGGAACTCAGTCATATCAATTTCCACTCCAGCATCAAAGGCACTCTAAAAACATAAAAGGACAGCTAAAAGCCGTGTAATGTACAAAATAATTACATCAACATATAAAATAAAATATCTTTTAATTAATCCCCGAATGAAAAAAGTCCAAAATTTGAAGAGATCAACACCGAATTTTTATATATACACATACATAAAATTTTACCTTTAATTTTTTAAGTTTAGATGCACTTCCTGCTATACGAAATAATCCCTAAAAATAAAAATAATATATGTATAGAAAGCTATAAAATTACAATGCACAAATAAATTTCATTTCAGTAAACTTCAATTACACAGAATTTTGCAAGCACAAAAGACAATACATTTATTGTAAAGGCTATAGCTAATACTAACTTCTTCCAAAACACCATACTCAAGAAGAAATAAGACACATGTTTCTATAACCTGAGCAATTTCTCTATTTGTAACTCTTAAATGCTCTTCTAAGGAACACCCATAAACAGGTTTCTGAGAAAAATCAGCTGAAATGGAAAATATTTCATTAGTCAATAAAAATAAAAACAAGTGTTACAACTAACAAATTGATTCAAAAGCAATATTGAATTGATAAAATAAAGAAAAACGGACTATCTTTATTCTTTGGTGGCTGGAAACAACTTACACAATTTTTATTCCCAGCTTGCACAAACCATTACAGGAAAACTAACATTCCTCTTGAAATGAAAAGGGAAGACAGGTTCCTGTTCAGTTCTTAAGCATTCACATTTATTTCAGAGATTTTATCTTTATTAAAATTGATGAAAAAAAAATTAAAATAATAAATTAATCAGTTTCCTTACATAAACTTACCCATAAGAAAAATGATCAAAGTTTCATCCCTTCCCCAAGAGGAAAAAAAACAAGGTCTTTAAAGCTTAGAAAATAACTAAAACACAACTGTTTATATTACTTAGAAACATGTCCACATTAAAATTAAGAATAAATAAGTAAAATTTCCCTATCTTTTAAGTACTGAAAATCTGTTTAATTAATTATATTAATTAAATACATTCTGATTAGGTGATTTAAACTTTAAATTCAAGAAAAATGGAAAATTTTATTTAGATAATATATCAAATGTTAAGGCTTTTTTAAACTCGGGATTTTGAAATATTCTTATCTACTTCAACTTTCAATTAAACCAAGTTTTTACATAAAATCCTGCAAAAGTATGAAAATAATTATAAAGTATATTAAATTACCAAAGCAAAAGTTTCCCCCCTCTCATGTAACTTTTCATGCCTTAAAATTTCGTGTTAAGGAACATGAGGCATATGTTAGAAAAAAGGAACACAAAAGTCTTCTGTTGCCCAACACTGTTGGTCTGAAAATCACACTTTCAATTTTTCTGCTGCCAAAATTATTCAAAAAACATCTTTCATTGGTGAACTGGATTTTCTAGAGGCATTTCACATTCAAAAAAACTTTCTGTTCTAGTAAATGACCCTAATTCCAATTCATCTTTGCCTTCAGCCTTTAAGAAATTATGTTTTAGTTCTGGTTTCATCAACAGATGGCGCCAGTGGCTTCTATCCTGTCCAGGCTTTCTTACCTTATCTAATCATTATACCTTATCTCGTTCATTTGCATTTTGGATGGTTCAGTTAAACCATTGAAATTAGTCCTGTAAAAATTTGGAAATATAACGCTGTTTTTTGTTGTTTGACTTCTGAATTAAGTTTTCAGTTTTAGTTATTTATGAAAATACACATTCTAGGCCTTTTTATCATATAATAAAATAAACATACTTACATATATGATTTTCCAGTTGAGGAAGAGAAGCTTCTAATACAGCTAATGCATTTCTATGATAATTTGCTTGCAGCTGATGAAAATGAACAAACAGATGGGCTAACTGAGGTTCTTTGCTGATTAATGAAAACATTTCGGTGGCTAATGCATCCTACAATAAATATATATATAAAACAAAAGAAAATTCTTTAACATAATTCTTGTTATGTTATAGAATTTGGTTTATGACCATTCATAAACCAAGTTCAGACATAATTACATTCATTATACATCGGAAACTGAAACAAATATTAAATTTTATATTTTCATAGCTAAAAGTATTATCATACTAGTCTCTAAAATTTTGATGCCAGTGCAAATTATGTTAAAATTAATATTGTAGGTATAGGAAAAAGAGAACTAAAAAATCTATTCTTTTGAAGTATAGACCATTTTTTACAGTTAAGTTAGTTTAAATAATTGTTGCACAGAAGTCAACAGCTAAAAGAAACTGGAGATGGAGATGGGTAGTTTATTTCATACGTGGAGGGAAACACAAACTATTTATGCAGCCAGGTCATTCCAAGATTTTCTCATATAATTTGTAAGTCATACCTTTATATTTACTAAATTAAAAGGGTATTTTAGAATCCTGTAAATCTTAGTATTTTAATTTCATAAAGTTATAATGTTTCAAAACACACAGAATAAAAAAAAAAAAAAAAAAAAAAAAAAAAAAAAAAAAAAAAAAAAAAGGATAGAAAACATTCCCATAAATATGATAAATTTGCCTCTCAATACACATAAATATTTTTAATTTCTTCTTCCCAAGTATTACAAAAAATTTTAATTTTTTTATGCAAAATTTAATATTTTAATAATTGTTCATTGTAAAGAAAAAAAAATAAGACTAACTTAACCCGTAACAGGGAAGGTCAAATATTGTTACATAACTGGGAACGTGCGGTCAGAAAGACAGTGTCTCGTTATGGTTTAAATAAAATGTTCTAATCAAAATATTAAAATTTTATTTTACCCATACATTCTATAAAACACTTATCTTCGAACAGAAAAAAAAAAAAAAAAAAAAAAAAAAAAAAAAATATATATATATATATATTTTACAAAGAAATCAATCAAACACTAGGAACATCTTTTCTGCCAACATGAACTTTTTTATGAAAAACCACTTGCAAATATAAATTATGCAAAACAAAGCAGGATAACTATTATTTTTTATGAATAATTATTATTTTCCATTAATTTAACATGTGATAGCTACATTCAGATGAAAAATACAAATATTGTATGAAACATAAAAAAAATAACAGTACCTTAACTATCAGTAATACCATTGTGTTCTTGCAAAAAATATCAACTTACTCAGCATATTCTTGTGTACGTACATAACAAACTGGCGTTTTACAACTTACGCATTAAATATGAAGTTTTCAGTTCTTTTTTTTCTCTAATATTTCGTTTGTGAAAATGACTTCCCAAACACTTTTAGGATGCATACTTTCACCCAATTTTCCACATGCTCTTAATCCTGGATGATGAACTATATTATGCGCAGGAGTTCTCACATTTTGTTGAGATTCAATAGATGACCACTTGAAGCGGTTCCTCCCATAATAATATTTTATAGATGAAATGGCTTCAGTCTCTGGTTCAGTGCATTCATTGTCAGATTCAGAAAATTCTAATGTCGTGAAATGCGAACTTTCATTTGTAAAATCTTCTTGGCATTCATTCATCTTCATCGCTAAATTAACTTTTCACTTCATTAAGAATTCTTTACAGCACTTCTGCATAACGCGAATTAGAAGGATATATGATATTTCTCAGACCGAGTCTCAGAGCCATGTTCCACCTGGGAAAGAAATTGTAACACTGAGAGGGAGGTGCGGTCTGACATACTGCTCTCAGACAATGGAACAGAATTTCACAATGAAGAAGGCGCAAAAAATTTTCAATATGTGAGAATTATCAAGGTCACAAAAGGAGAAGCTAGCAGGATAATCCACTCAATCAGACTAAATATAGAATAGGGGTGATAGGAACAACATTTGTAGCGGTCTCCCAGACCCCACCTCCCCAGTTACAGGTTAATACCTGAAAACAACAATAAGACTTCTTAATATCAGTAACTCTTACTCCTTAACCATTTCCGGGACAGTGTGTTCGGTGTGAACACACCCAAAATGTTCCCTCTTTAGACACTGAAAATAATCGATAAAAATCAGGAAAAATACACTAATGGTTACTTTTAATCTCTTTTATGAATAATAGATGGCAGCACCACACAAGCAAATCATTAATGTTGAGATTACTTTTACTTTTAATTTTTATCTTGGAAATATTGCATATAGTGAAGCCTTCAGTGTATGGTGTGTTCGGACTGAACACACTGTACTGGTAGCGCCTGTCACGTGGCAGTGAGTCACAGAATCTGGTCTCATGCTTCAAATACAGGTACGGCTGAGAGCGCATATTTATTTATATTTGTTTTTATTCTTTTCTGTTTTTGGTTTTGAAGACCCCGGTGCTTTGTTTTCACTTAGCTATTTGATTTTCAGCGAGAGCAGACGCTTTTTTTCTCTTGCTTTCATTGTGCGTAGTTTGCTTAGTTTTGATTTCTGTAGATTTTTATTTGTATATATATTTAATAATGATTTTTTTCTAGAAATAATTAATCGTAATTATAGTATTTTAATGATTTTTCTTATAAATTTTAAAATTGTGTAAATGGCTCGGAGAGGCCTCAGCAATGAGAGTTTCCTTTTTTGGGGTAGGGTGTAGAGTAGCAGGCCTCCCCGTGGTGCACACTGGGTTATGCTAAATCTGGTACAGAGATCAGATTCTACTGTTTTTAAATCATAGACAAAGTATTTTACTGTAATACATGCTTCACAGCAATGCTCACCTATCATAGCTCGTGCGGCTGAGTTTGTTCGCTTCGGACACACCCACAAAATGGAAACAGTTTGTGCAATCTTTGTTAAATTATACCTGCATACTCTCCTAGGCCTAAATAGACTGCCTACATTTTTTTTTTTTTTTCTTTTTTTCTTGGTAAAATTCCAACTTTAAAGAGTAGCATGCCGGAAAGGGTTAACTCAGATACTGCAGAAGCTAATATAATGATCCAAATCAATGTTGATTCAGGGAATCAAAAAATAGCTATCAAAAATTGCACAAAATTGCTTTTAATTACCTTCCCCCCTCCAAAAAAACTACGAATATAAAAAAAAAAAAAATATAAATGCATGCGATAATTTTTATTTAAAGGAACTTGAGGAAGTTTTGCAATTCATTCATACCCTGCACTGATCAACTTTTTGTGAAGCATCTTCTAATTCATCCTTTAAAGTATCAACTTTAACCATAGCATTGACACTTGAATTCGAAGAAGTTTGCAAACTATGCCTTTCAGCCGTCTGGAATCTAAAATGAGATAAAAACATCATGCATTCATTAAAAGCAGGATAAATAATATGTTTACTCTGAGGTTTGCTGATTCTCTTTAAATGATAAAAATATCAATATGATTTTAAAGAAAACTTTCTGCAAAAAAATTTAATGAAATAACAAATTTCATCAACTTTTGGATATATGCTTTAAAAAGCTATGCAACAATTTTAGTATTTACATCATGAAGGATTTCTGTTTTATAAATAAAAAATTTTTAAAACCTTTTTCAAATAACATAAAATGTAACTTTTCTGGGAAAGGAAAAAATACATTTGCTTCTCAACTTGGCAGAAGGGTTTTGAACTACTGCCATTTTTCAAATAACATAAAATGTAACTTTTCTGGGAAAGGAATAAATACATTTGCTTCTCAACTTGGCAGAAGGGATTTGTACTACAGTCAAAAGTCGTTAATTCGGACACCCGTAATCCGGAATGATCTATAATCCGGACCTCAAAGCTAAAATCTTTCTGCGCATGCGCCGCATTGACGCATCGCATAGGCGTTTTACTCGTGTGCGCAAGACATTTACGACTGCGCATATGCATCTGCGCAAGTGCAGAATACGTTTTCGCGTGCGCGTTTAATGTATGACGGACGGTATAAGCTAAAATTATCTAATTATCTATTTCAGTTAATGTTGATAATTGCGTTGTATTAACTTATCTTCAAATTGGATCCGGCTTATTATTTTTTGCAGACTGTAAGAGCAATTTTCTAAAAGTAAGCTTGAACTTTCGATTATGTCAAATAGAATTTCCGATGCTGGAGCTCCGAAAGGATTTAGAAAACGAAAGTATGTTTCGATGTCCATCAAACAAAAAACGAATTGCTACAAAAAATGAATAAAAGCATATCCTTTGTTTATCTAACCGTTCCGAAATCTGTTTATCAATTTCACGCTGCTCTGCGCGGGGGGGGGGAGCACGTCGCGGCGCGCAATGAACTGGAAGTTGATCTGTCAACACTATCGTTATCTTCAGGGCAGATGTTTTTATTTTAGTCGGCTTATAATTCCTTACTAAATGTAGTATTTAATTCGATGTACTCCGTCTTTGATATGATTTAAATCAAATTCCTCGTCATTATAAATATCACGAATACAAATCACATAGTTTTCTGGTTTGCAATTTTCTAATTTCGGCTATGAGTAAGGTATGCTTTACGCATCCGCGCGTTAAAAGAAATGTTTAATAAAGTAAACAAATAAATATTAGGCTTCTTTTTTGGTAAATTTGGATACCCTTTAGATCATAATTGCTCATTATTTTATAAATTACGGTTTCATATTTTTAGTTTTATAATTTCTGCATGCCATCTTACCAGATTTAAACTGATGATCTATAATCCGGAAAAATCGATAATCCGGAATCGCCGAAGTCCCGACGAGTCCGGATTAAAGACTTTTGACTGTATTGCCATTTTTTATTTAGGGGGGGAGGACCATGAAAATTATTACTATCAAATCTGGTAGAGAAACAGATCTCAGAATATTAACAGAAAAGAAAAACAAAGTGTTATGCATTCCAAAGATGAAAATTAATTTCTTTTAGTTACTTCCATACAGTTTTTTTTTTTTTTTTTAGGCTTTTGGATATCAAAACTTAACAGACTCAGAATAAGAAACACAGAAATCAACACTCAGAAGTCCTCAATATACAATAAATATAATAACTTCATTTACTTCCCAAATGTTTCAAGATATATTAAGTCAAGATTAATGAATTTAAAATTTCCATACAGAAAAGGTACAATATATACAAAATGAAACTTGGTTTCAGAAATTTTCATTAGCTATAAGCAAAAATTAATGTAATTTAATAAACAGGCGATTAATCACACTTAGGGGTTGAAATAATCCAACATGCTCAAACAATATGACACAACTGACTGAAAAGATAACACTGAAGACTGTTAAGTGTGTACTTCATAGAAAAACATCATAACAAGGCAAAAGAGAACAGATACAAAAGAAGAAATTTAACAAATAAAAAGTGCTGTGAAAAACAAAATCAGTAATTTAACGGCAAACTAACTTTTTTACTCGAATCAAATATACACCGCAAACATTTTATCCCTTAATATACGATAAAAATATGAAGTTCTAAATATACATGTGATATATGTATAACGACCACTAAGATGTACAATATATAGATTTATGTACGTTAAATTGGGAGGATGGGAAAGATTGTGTAAATTATCATCAAACTAAATCATATAGCATCATTACATAGCATACCATGTGTATTCAAATCGACAAAAGTGATTTCAATAAATATATGAAACTTTTCTTTAATTCTAAAGTGAAAACAATGATTTGTATTTTTGTTAATTTTTTCAAGCATTATTTCACTTACTGAAATTTATTTAGTTTTTATGTTTAGAGAAACAGTATCTTTGGATAATATATGTATAAAATTGCTTCTTTCAGTCATTATCTGCTCAAGGTATAACAATATTACAATATTAAGTGTTTGAGTCAAACACTAAAAAGTGATTACCTAAGTAATAAAAGCAATTACTTAAAGTAATCATCTAATTACAAAAAAGTAATTACCTAAAGGTTTTATTTTAATACTGTTAATTACTACCTCTAATGTTATGTTTGAATGTATTCTGAAATTATCACCTAGTGCTGGCATGCAGTTAATTCAATGGAGATATTATACATATAAGATATAAATATGATCACATGCCATATTTTAAACATTAAATGCAAGCATATTTATACTTATATTTTGTGTGTGTATTTGCCATTAAACTAAAAAAGTTTAAATTAAACTTCATCAAAATATTAACATTGATAATTCAAGAGTAATAATGTACATCATAATCCAGTATTTCCCAATTTTTTTAGCATTTTGAGCATTGCGAATTCATATACAGAGAGCCGAAAATTATTTCAGTCCACCTGAATGTAATGACTCTGGGATAGGGGGGAAAAACAAAAGATTTTTAGTAGAAAATAATGTAATAATTGATATACAAAAACTGCACATGATCACAACAATAAAGCTTACAGAGGTGATTAAATTACTCATTTACAGAACATTTTAAAATGTCGCCATGCTTTTTTAACCAATACTGAAAGCTTTAATTCTATTAGAAGCAAGCAAAGTTACATACATTCTTACTAGAATTTGAATGCACCACTAAAATCAATAGCTGTTAAGTATGTAAACGTTACTATTATGAATATTTCTTTAATATCTAATATATATATACAATATATAAAATTTTTGATGATTTAAATATATCAATGAAAGACCAAATATTTGGTAATATTCTTATACATTTGGACCATCAACAGTGTATGTCAACTAGCACAGATATGTTCTGGTGAAGATTGAAACGAGAAGCTGAAAAGACAGAGAGAGAGGCTATAAAAACACCAAATCCTTTGCTGCTCTGCCTGGACTGAAGTCATTTTACATCCATTTACTTTACTCTGGTTGCAATAAATAAGTTTGTATTATAACATCAAGCACATAATTAAGTAAGTTTATTATTGGTGTTATTTTCTTTTCTCATTTATAATGTACTGCTGAACAGCTTATGGAGAGATCCATTCAGAAAATTTTTTCCCAGGAGATATCTTCATTGGCGATCGAAGAGGATCCTAAAGAAGGGAAGCTTTCTTTGCCTGATCAATCTCTTCCTGCCTTGCCAATGAAACAAAAAACTGTCATGACAAGAAGCAGAAAGATTATTAAGTTACCTTCTAGGTTCGATTGTGAATGCGGTACAAACTTCCATTAAAATTTTCGGTGAAACAAGACTTTTTCCATGATGGGAACATAGCTTAACAAACTCGTGTAGATTTCTGGAATGAACTTTTAAAATGAATTATTATTTTGAGCTGAGAACTTTATTGCATGTTTTAATTACCAATTGTATATATTATTAATCAAAAAGTGGGAGAATTTTCACATAATTACTCCATCTTTAGGTAGCCACAAAGCAAATCTGGCAAAAAGTGTAACAAAATAATTTTCTTGATGTGACTGGCATCAGTGTTTATGTTTAGAATTAATTTTGTTTTAAAAGAATAAATATATAATAAAATTCTGAGAAGAAAGTAGATTGGTAATCTATCCATTCTCAACATATACTGCTTGTTTTAATTCAACAGTTTAGTTGCATGTGGTGTTACTTCAGCTTTCTTCTATTTTGATGTAAATCATATGTTTTAATAATAAAGTATAATTTAAAAACATAAAGAAAATATTTTTATTCAACATTCACCAATAGTGCATGGTGAGTGTCTTCGGACATACACCAAGTGACTAAGTGAATGCTGACATTACAGGAAAAAGCTGACATTCTCTATTTTAGTCTTTCATGGTAACACACACATATACTGTATTTGATGGCATATGAATAAACTTATTTTTCTTAAAGGTTATTTTTTATCGACGGACCAGCTTCACTGCTTCATTTTTAATTATTTTATTTAGAAAAACATCATATACAAATATTTACAGTGAAGCAAAATACAATTTAATTGTGAGCTTCGGTTACAAGTAATTGCTCACGTCAGACCGGTTAGATTTCTTCTTCAAGTCTGCTGCCTCAATCGTAGGAGGCAATGATTTGGCGAGATTCGTTGGCGTAAAAATGCGCCAACATCCCGCCCGGCCTTGCTATGTTCACATGCAAGAACTTAACATAATTTTAATTATGAAATACCAATATTAAAGTTTCAGTTATTCATGTAAACAATAAAATATGTATAGAAAAATATAAAATAAGTGAACAAAACATGAATACAAAATTATTGAGAAAAATAATTTTCAATATAATTACTAACAACTGAGTAACATAATTCACAACTTGCTAAACTTCAATAGGCAATACAGCTATTTTATTAATTGTCCTTTTAAAGTCCCCTGTTTTGGTACGAACTTTTACAACACGGACTTTTCCATCAGAACCGTGGTACAATGATGTTATTCGCCCTAAAAGCCAAT